GTAGCACATTTTTAATATACAATACAAGGTACAATTAATATCATCGACCTTTTATACTAAATGAAATCTTTAATATTATATATAAAATTCTTTAATACTGAAAAAAGTTTCGACTAACTTGCGTTGTACTAAGTGCAGCACGCGCCAATTCGAATTTTATACTAATTTACTTCTAATCAATGAATCGATACATGGAAAGAACGAAAAAACTGAAATAAAAAATTTTTATAAAAAAAACATCTTAAAAAGCTTTTATTTATAAAAATTGGGTATGCGATAACAACTTCTTTCATTTTTCTTTTTCGTTTCTTCGGTTTTTCTTTTAATATTATTTTTAACTTTTTAGTATTATTTTATATTTTAATAACTTTACATATCAATTAGTTATGGAATTACTAGTTAGTTGTTTGTAAAATTTCACATTCCATCCATTTCATTTAATGTGTAAATATTATATTACATTACACGTCCACCAAACCACCACCACTCACCACCCATTAAAAACGGTCCACCCATTAAAACTAATCAAACTCGATGTGCTTGTGTCGCTTAATGATTGAGTCCCTATGGCCACCTTCCAGCTCCATCATCAAACCCTGGTTACCATCAAGTACCAAAGTACTCGTCAAGACGAAGCCAACGAGCCGTGACTCGATGGGGTTGCGTCGTTCTATTACAGAGTCCCTATGGCCACCTTCCAGCTCCATCATCAGATCAGTACCATGTCATCATAATATTGCATTGCCACGCGATTTACACATGTATGCAAAATTTCAGCTCAATCGGTACCTAACCGGGAAGTGGATCAAATTTAATTTGCAAGAATTGATGACAAACATCGCTACAGGTGAAATTAAATGAAAGCTTGTTAAATAAAATTCGTAGCAAGGGTTTACAAATGTTTAGGAATCGTTTTAAAACGTTGCCGTGCTGTGCGGGGAATCCCCATCCGAGCTAACAGTTGGATCCCCGCTCATAAGACGCGCGCTTTAGAACTAAATAAGTTTGGCAACGTTGCCTATTTATCGTTATAATAACGTTAATAACGTTAATTTCTCTGTAATAATTTCGTTCTGTTACTCGTATAACGTTATAAAAAAAAATGAAAACGAAATGTTTTCTGAGGTACCGATACCATTATAACGTTATGATATCGTTATAAATTTCGTTATGCATAACGTTTTAAGTCCCTGGTCGTAATTGCGTTTTTCATGTTTGTACAAAACCTGTTTATATTATCCGGTAACATCCATTATTTATTTTTGTCTATCCAAATATTAGATTTTATATATTTGTTTAAAGTTTTATGTTCAAAGAAATACAAGGCGGCTTTAATTGCTCAAGTCATTCTCCACTAATCAGCCTAAAGGTTAATCATAAAAGAAGTCAAAAGCGTTTTTAAAATATATTTACACAAAAGGGGAAAAAATAAAATAATGATTCCCCGTTCTTAAAATGAACCGAAATAGAAGATGTTTTAACTTCTTAGTTCTTTATTGTATAGGTATGGAGAATAATCATTAAGATATGACAGTAAACAATTAGAATGTAACTGTGCCTAACTATGCAATAGAATCTGAGACGCCTTCACTTTTTGTGGTGGCGATAGCGGTGATTGAATTGGATATGGATGACGTCAGCAACAACCTTGGTTCGAAAAAAGGGTGACTAATAATAGAATACTCGAGTTCACCCCAAATTTTAATCGTGTTAATCCACAATTGTCCATATCCAGGCAACCGGTGTACGCAAGTGCAGTGTCGTTCATTGTATCGCTCTGACGTGATGCTTGAACAGAGGACATCTTGTTAAAACGTTCTTCAAAAGTGTATGGCTGTTGACGATGTTGAAGATAATACTGAGCTAACCTTGATAAATAATTTCCTTGAGTTATTTTATTCTAATGCAGACTGGTCTATTTCTTTTCTTTTTACTTACTGATTTTCTATTCAACGAAAAACTAGCATACTACAACACTTACTCCGATGGATACCAACATAGCTATAAGATCGTAGGACCTAATAATATTAAAGCATTGATTTTATAACAAGATGTAGAGTTATATACAATTTGTAGATATAATGATAATTTGATTGATAACAACTTTTCAAATGATTGAAAGCTATATATGTTACTTTTTTGATAGGTCTTATCAATACTGATAAATACTACTTTTTTTTATAAAGATGATATTGCTACGCCAGAGTGAAAGTCAAGTTTATCCAACCAATTTACCTTAAATATTGTTGCTAATGTAACATTACTTTCTACGATTGGTAAATTAAGACAAGTGCATATATAGTCAGCAATAAATTATTTTGCTTTCATTTAATAAGATGATAAACGGGCTGGTGGCTTATCTTATTGAATGACATAACCGCCGTCCATGGACGTCCTTAATACCTGAAACTGGTGACATTGTGCTAAGATGGGCCTCGTTACTTAAAATGTTTCAGGACGTATTTTATAACACACCTTTATGTGGACTCGAACTAAGTAAAGCCGGCATTTCCAATATTTTCTAGTCCTCTGGCGGAAGAGACAGTTTCACTATCCACTATGTAAACCAAATCCTACTTTAGCGCAATCAAATTCCGCCGCGTAACATCTCTTCTAACTATGACTTACACCATCATACGTTTAATGTTCCCGAAAGTCGTAGAAATAGTACCAATAGTTTACCCAAAAGTTAATTGTACGTGCCGTATCAATCTAACGGTGGTAGGGTCACGCAGCAGCCTCGGCTGTTGCACGAATGGGCAGGCCCGTCCGGGTGAGTACCACGACCTCACAGAAGACCAGCGTAAAGTGGAAGTATGACAAATACTTTCGCGTTTCGTCTGGTGAGTGAGGTAGCCGGAGCCCAATTTTCAAAAGGTTGTCAACGCCTCTGTAACCTTCGGGTGCAGCAGATGTCCATGGGCGGCGGTATTCACTTAACATCAGGTGAACCGTCTGCTCGTTTGGCAACTTATCACATAAAAAAAAAAAAAAAAAAAAATCTAAACATTCGCGTTTCGTAGTAAAGTCCAGCGTCGCTGATTCTTGCTAGGAAGCTTTCGCCCTTGGCCGATATATCGCCTGACCGGTCCGTTCGGGGCCAATGAAGCTCAGTTAACGCGAAGGGTGGTTATTTTTGTATGAGTGCCCGGACGTAAGCAAGCACGCATTAGAACCCTGACGTCACTGACTCAAGACACCACGATATTTTCGAGGGGCGTCTCTATCTATTTGCGTCTGGATGCCTTCAACGCCCGATTTTTATTCTTTTAGATCAGATTCGATGTTATCTCTGCTCGAATTCGTTTTAGATTTAGAATAAGTGTGCAATTATTTAAGTAATGTAAGTATGATGACGGAAAGAACTTTTTTGGTAACAACTTGTTATATCGACGCGTGCTTATTACAAATTATAAATTCCACAAGAACGTATGTAACGTCAAGAAAGTATAGAATATCGAACGCCTGAGAATTTTTGTTATTTTGATGATGACCTGAATTTTCAATATTCTTCTATCTGTTGATTTCGTTACTTTAGATAGAATTTTGACGTAAGTATTATGGAGCTAATGTCAAAATTAAAAACGGCCGTTAGTGAATCTGTTAAAAGTATTGTGTCATGAACATAATGTTTCTCTAGTGTCTGTATTTTATTATGTATTCGTTTACAAAAGGAAAGTATGTTTAAGTATGTTTATAGTTACCTAACATCTATAGTAAAAGCAACCTAACATCATCTTTGCTTATTTTGATACTAGATGACATTGTGTGAAAACATGTCTGAAACATTTATTTATTATTTTGCTGTTTGCATCCGAGCAAAGCCGTACTTGATGTACGTAGTAATTTGAAGTAGATAATAACTTTATTTGAACGATATTAAACACTATCGCTTCCCTTAAGGCCACGACATCGCGATATATTTAAACATCCCCACGCAACGCCCGTTTATCGGCCACAACACGCCACTAACTATAGCACCGGTAACGTTCGGCCATTGCCAAACGAAAAACTTACAATAATATTGGAATTTCCGCGTTTGCAATAGAGTCTATTTTCGTTTGGCATCTCACTGAATGTGTGCGACATTGAAATGCAACGAGAGTAAACAGTGCGAACCGCGTGATGGAGAAGACATTCGGTGCGCAAACATCCTGATTATTCCGTATCATTTTTAGATATTCGTTTGAGAAAAATATGCTGTGATTTGGAGTAACAACACGCAACGAATTTCACAATCATAATAACAAACGCTGAAACACTTGTAATTGAAAGGGGCACATCGATATTTGGATTGAAACTATGAGACGCATAGCATGACAAACAAGATCGTATGCATATTGAATAAGTCTCCAAGAAGTTTGGTCATACGATAGCATTTATCATAATTGCTGGTGAGTGAGGTAGCCGAAGCCTAATTTTCAAAAGGTTGTCAACGCCTCTGTAACCCTTGGGTGTAGCAGATGTCCATGGGCGGCGGTATTCACTTACCACCAGGTGAACCGTCTGCTCGTTTGGCAACTTTTCACATTAAAAAAAAATAATATATCTCCTACAGGACAAGGTTTGAAGAGAACGGTACAGGGTGAAACAGTTTATTATGGCTCCTGACTTGATTAGTCGCACCTGATGCGAGGCCGTCGTAAAGGCTGAGTCGTGACTAAGGCCTTCTCTGGACAGGTGGCATTAGGTTATAGTCTAGTGGTAGGGTCACGCATAATCTACGCTGTAGCACGAATGGGCAGGTCCGTCCTGGTAAGTACCATGACCTCACCGAAGGCAGGCGTGGAGTAGAAGCATTATACTTCTGCGTTTCGTCTAGTATCTGTGGTAGCCCTGGCCCACATGATTAAAAGGTGGCGCATGTGCAACCCTACGGGTGTTTCAAATGTCCATGGGCGGCGGTTGTCACTTAACAAGCAGGTGAATGGCCAGCTCGCTTGCCACATTCTCACATTAAAATGTCTGCTAATATCTGATGATTCGTCCATACTTTGCAGGTACGAGCGTCTGCTGAGGCGAGCGCGCAGCGAGGATCTCAACGAGATCTCGGGGATCGGTTGCTTATACCAGAGCGGCGTGGACCGACTGGGCAGGCCCGTGGTGGTGTTCATCGGGAAATGGTTCCCCATCGGCGACATCGACCTGGATAAGGTGAGGTCTCCCGTTTTGAGTTGTCAATTGTTGAGATGTCCCGACAATTGTGCGCTCGATGGCTCGGTGGCGCCGTTGCGAAGCCATTGGCGTCGGCGTCGAGGGTCGTGGGTTCGATTCCCGCACGCGACAATTAGTGTTTGTGTGACTTACAGATAATTGTTCCGGATCAAGGTGTTTGTTTCCCAAGGAGGGTCGACGTCAGGAAGGCGGCTGGTCGTAAAACATAGTCAAAATCGCTTACAACATAATTCACATGTTATGAACATGGGACCCCACCTAGGTGGGATAAGGGCAGGAAGATGATGACGACTTATGTGCTTGATGGCGCAGTAGGCACAGTCGCCGTACAGGCTGCGAAGGGTCGTGGGTTCGCCCTGGGAAAATTGTTTGTGTTATCAAACATTAATGGCTCCAGATCTGGCTTTCAATTTGTTTATTATGTTTTAAAGCCTCTTTGTGCACATATGTAATGTGTGTCATTCAATAGATCTTACGGAATCGATCTTAAATCACTAGGACCTTAGTTTTGTATAAATCATTATTCATTTCTATAAACCGTTTTTGTTCCAAAATTTATTTTAATCATATAACAATGATATAGAAAACTATTTTCATGTATTTATCGGATTTAGTTTAAGTTTGAATTTCCTAAGTTTCGTAAACTCAAGCATCTATCGTCACGGAATACTGATATTATTAACGTCAAAGTGTCATAGTCAACTCATTACCATCAGCTTTGATCATTTATTTGCGTTTCAATATGTTAAGAAGGTTAATTTTTTTTATATTCGCACTGATACAAGAAATCATATAACGAATTCGGAATAATGGAAAAGGAATTAATGGAATTTTGATTTTCTCACTTCCCCATGAGTTATTACTTCAACTGTTCCTTCGCAGGCCCTGTTATATCTGATCAAGCTGTTGGACCCCATTGTGCGAGGAGACTACGTCATCGCCTACTTCCACACCCTCGCCTCTTCCTCGAACCACCCTCCGTTCTCCTGGCTCAAGGAGGTATACTCCGTCCTGCCTTACAAGTGAGTGAAGACTTATTTATGTTGCCATTGTTTGAACACGAACGAATCCATATAAATAAAGTCAGCGATGCAAAGGTGACGTTAAATTGGAGTAATTTTAAATTCAAATGCACAATAAATCAACTGCCATTACGAACTCTTAATAAATTCTACTTTAATCAATGATGCGATGATCCAGTCAAACAAAACAGTTGAAAGAACCGCTGTCCGAAAATTAATGACAAGTACAGTTTTATAATAAAAAAAAATATTTTACACAGACATCAATATCGGAGTCTAAGGGCTAATACTAATGAAATTAATATTTGAACACATGGGAACTAAACCGAACGGAATGCAAAAATATGCGCGATAGCTATACGTACATATACGATAAGCAACAAGGTGCAATTGTGTTGACTCATTTGTTATTTATTCATAAATGCCGTGACGTCATCGTGGCTCATTACTTTATCAACCTCCGCATAATACCATTCGAACAGGCATGCTTATTAACCGCTTTATTAAGGTTTTTTTGTTCGAACAAAAATCCGATATAAAGTAAACAGTTAACTTTGGCTCGAGGTCGTAAAGTAAAAAATTCAAATTTTATAATATACTGAAATGTTTAAAAATTTCCCATTTAATAACGAATTCAAAGTTCAAATTTTTATTATGCTTTGGATTATAATCGTTTTGAGGGTTATATTTCTGTTTGAAAATTTCAACATTTTTTTTTTACTTTACAATTGTTGCGATGATATCGTACTAAGCCAAAATATGCGTACCATATTGTGTACACATATTTTTGGCTGACGTTTAAATTTATTGTGATGTATATATTACTGTTAGCTGTTTTGTGTACCGAATAAAATAAAATAAATAAATAAATGAAAAATCGTCAAACTTTTAACTGCCCGAAGGAAATCTCAAAGGAAACTGCACTGAAATACAACAACTCTTTTACATTAGCTTCAACCCACTTCTAACCGGATGTTGTACACGCAATATCCGGTTAACCGGATCTGACCAGTGCGAGCCTACAGCCACACGATATCCGGTTTGAAGTGGGTCGACCTGTCAACTGTAGACATTTACAAATACCAATACGAAGCCAATGTTTGCTGTTACATGCCATTATTTCCCTCATGTGTTTTCTGTTTTTTTTTTTTAATTTCCATGTGATTTATACCCGAATTCGTCTTTATTGCAGATACAAAAAGAACTTGAAAGCCTTCTACATCGTGCATCCAACGTTTTGGACAAAAGTAAGTAGTTCTTTCAGGCTCGCATTCAATTTGGGGAGTAGTTTCCCAATGAAGACGCAATTTGAGGCCAAAAAATATATATATAAATACATGTTATATACGGTCGAATTGAAAAACCTCCTCCTTTTTGAAGTCGGTTAAAAAAGAGCATTCAGTGTGAAATCTCTGCAAAGTGACTTAATACCTGCGGCTAGACTACCAGTAATATATCTCAAAGTTGCGCAAAAATAATTTGTATGACACTGACGACTTTACTAATGTTATCGTCATTTAACTATTGATTTAGATTGTATCTCGAAGTTTCGAAGATTTTGCCGCATTCAAGGTCACAGCAAGGTCTAACCGAAACGCAATCAAATACATGATGTTACAACGTTATTTGAATTTAATTGTGAGATGTGGGTAAACGATCGGGTGGGTCATCTGATGTTAAGTGATTACCGCCGCCCGTGGACGTCTTCACCCGGATGCCGAGAGCCGTGATAGCTCAGTGGCCGGGCGCTTTTAATTCAATATCCCCGAGCAATACGAGTTCAATCCCCGGCACCAATGAATTTGTTGATTTTACGTGCTCGGCGGTGAAGGAAAACGTAGTGAGGAAACCTGCTACCAATGTTTGAAATAATAACAAAAAAATATCTGGAATATATGTAAAGTCCGCCAATCCGCAGTTGGGTCGCGCGGTTGGACAATGCCCTAGTCTTCTATACAGAGGACTCCTTTGCCCAGCAGTGGGACGCAAGGCTACTCACTTTACTACTCAAATATTTCAGTCACAGACGAAAGCCGGTTTTCCAGTATCATTTCTTTTATTCACGTGAGAAGGTAGCAAGCCAGCTAGCGGTTCACCCGACGTTAAGTGATAACTGCCACGCATTGACATCTGCAACACCCGTAGAGTTGCAGAAGCGTTGCCACCCACCCATAAAGTGTGCCCCGGCCACCTCACTCGCCAGACGAAACGCAGTAGTGTAACGCTTCCACTAAGCCGTACTCCGATTGTAACCCAGAACGAATGTCAGTTTCGATGAAACAATTCTATCGGGTGAGCGCTGAGATGCCGGCGATGGGTTCCGCAGATGATGACGTGGTGGTTCACCACGTTTATGGCGCCGGCGATCAAGGCCAAGGTGCACAGCCTGCCCGGCGTGGAGTACCTGTACTCGGTGATGGCGAGGGACCAGCTCGAGGTGCCCGCCTTCGTCACCGAATACGACATGACGGTGAGTGGGCCCTCGATAGCGGAAAGCGGAAAGCGGAAAGAAAGGAATCGAACACCACAAATAAGGACAGACTGACCACGCGATTGTTGCGTCCACAAAAAGTAAATTGGTCTATTCTAGAGCAAATTGTGCGCATGTATAATAAAATCCCACGGTCGATATTAGGTATGCCACTTGAGAAACTTTAAGGCAAAGTTAAAAGTAAACTTATAGTTGAAGCTTATTACAAAGCGGTCTCTTCTCAACAGAAAGTTCCTTCCGACACGGTCGGTGGTAATGGTATCTTTCTTACTAACTTATGTATAATTTTTTTATTTAAAATTCGACGTTTGTATAAAGATATTTTGAAAGGCGCTCCTTCTCCCTTTTTTCTAATCTTTTCTTCGAAGCCCCGGAAATAATCGGAGTCGTCAAACTAACAATTAGTTAGATTTTGTCAATGGAGATGACAAAATTGGCATTTAGTCAATTAGTTTAAACTATCGTCGTAAATGGGCCATTCGCCATTGTTACGACTCGAAACACGTGACAAATGTTTGGTATGGCCAAACAAATGTTACATAGTAAAATTAAAGTGAAATATTACTTTATCTTTATTGATACTTTATATGACAGACTATTTGAGGCGAACTGTACGACGGAACCAATCGATTGGCTCTGAAGCCATTCGGTAACCGCAGTTTGATCTTAAACAATTGTCCGCTCTTCTCTTTGCGGCAGAATAAACAATACCGAGGGGAATAATGTACTATTCGTTTCGCAGGACAATGTAACTTTTGTGTGATTTTAATTTTTACCTATGTTTCGTTTAACGTATGGTTTTTTATGATGGCAACAGACGCAAATGGCATTGACAAAAGTCGTATGAATTTGGTCAGTGTTGTCAGTTATAACAATAATTGTTTGGTTAAATGTCGATTTTTGATTTATTTGTGAATAGATGTCTTAGTTCCGTTCTATTGTGTATAAAGACCGCATAGATTTAGCGATATAGTATAAAAGCTAAGAGTTTGGCTGTTAACTCATTATCGATTTCAACTCCTTTGTCTATTTAATATATGAGACGAAACAATTGGACCTGCCTGTTTTTTGTAGTGTCAATATTTTTTAGCTTAATGGCAAACACTGCCGTTACTTTATGATAAAATTATCCCGTTTTGGCAGGACATTTTACAAACATAAATTTCACGCGGACAAACACCCAGATGCGAAACAACTATCTTTGGGTCACACAAATAATTGTCCCGTGTGGGAATCGAACCCACGACCCGCGACGCCGAAGCCGACACCTCGGCGCCTGCGCCACGGAGTCATCAATTTTGTTGTACAATGTGTAACAGGAGAACAACTTGTGATAAAGGATTAACTTCAATTCCCACAGATAAACGGGCTGCACTACTTCCAGCCGGATACGAGCGGCACGTAAGCTTCCCGCAGACAGACAAGCACGCAGACAGACGAAAACTCGCCATCCAACCGAAGTTTACGAAGAAAAAAAAATGGGGGCAACCGTCTGCGAAAAAAACGGGGATAGAGAATTTTTTATTCCGTCACCACTACAAAATATATAAGATGTCGCCAGCGAAATAAGTATCGTATCCAAATGCATTTACGGAATTCATATAAAAATCGCATTTATTCGAAATCGTTGCGATTTTGTTATGTAATTGGTAATGAATTGTTGAGTATATGGCAACATTGAACTTTGTTTTTTACAAATCGGCGCCATTGTCGCACTTCGCGGGAGCTATTGTCAACCGATACTGTTATAACCTATTCAAAATGTTTCATGTAAATATATCGCTGCGTGCGCATTCTGTACACTGTTATTTTTTTTCTAACTGGGATTTCTGATCAATTGTGCTAAGTCCCATAAACAAACAACAACAAATGGGATAAATAGCTACTCCAATTTAAACCAACGTTGCAGAAATCCCGACGGGAGCAAGCAAATAATGTGATCGTTGATGATTATTCGAAACTAGTATTAGCGGTGCATTTTTTATATTATCGTGTAAGCGAATAGTTGTTAAATGAACAGTCGATCCGGTTTCGTACTGTACTATGTTGAAATCGCGGCTTCTGTCGACTTTCCATCCCTCGAAGTCCTCTCAGAGTATTGTCTATGGTTCTTTGTGCATTCTGCGCTTCTGCTATATTGTGGAGTGTAGAGTATAAGGTGTTATATCTCAAATGTGTTTTAACCAAAAGCCATTCACAAAAATGTACACATCAATAGTAGCATAGAGAGATTTCAAGTAAACGGCATTAAGAAGTAAAGTATGCTAATAAGAAATTCAGAAAATAAACATTACCAAGCTGTGAAAGTTAAATTTAAATTTAAATTACTATTATAGTAATTTAATTTACATTTAGTAATTTTTTTAGACATTTTTTTTTAATTTATTACAATTCGAATCCTATAAGCCTTTAAAGAGTTTACAGTTTTAATAAATGTCTCCAATTACTACAACTACAAGCAACTTTTGGCGCTTTCTTTGAAATGTAGAACTTATGCTACGGTAACGCCATCTTGCCATTGAGATGCTATTCCTTGTCTCTGAACTCGATATGATAAAAGTTTTAGTAATTTGAAAATAAATTTAGAAGCTTTTCTCTTTATATATTCCTGTCTACCCAATTTGTGTTTCTCTCGATTCCTCTCAATCGGCTCCGATTTCGTTTCACCAATTTCCGATATGATCCCGCGACAGGGTATTTTTTAGATGTAAACGTTATCAAAGGATTAGATTTCTTAGCGTTTCCGTTTGATAGACAATAGGAATCGTTTAGCAAATTCGTGGGTCACTCAAAACGTGGATCACAAAGTCAATGAATCACCAAATAAAAGTATGCAACAAATAACGAAATAACTGCCAGGAATTGTTAGCATACGATAAAACAACAATATTCAAAGTTACGTTCAAATCTGTGGAAACAGTTCGTATGTTCCAAAAACTTTTCTGAAAAAATAACCAATTAGTGATGTATAAACTGATTTTGAACTGGTAGAAATAATAAATTACACTAGTTTTTTTTTTTTTTTGCAGTCAAAATTAGTTTTTATTTTAAGTATTAAGGTGCTTAGTGAAATTAATTATATAAATTCAATAATTCATTTTGACATTTTTTGAAACCGTTTTGAATTCATGGAAAATATGCTAATTTGCGCATCCGACGTAATGTGGCCTATGACTATGATACCGAACATTTTCTATTGAATATATTTTTTTCCGTTGCCATTATTGCCAGTGTTAAAAAATACAATCAATCAAAAGCGTAAGTACGAAATACTGTGACTGTATGACAAAAATTAAAAAAACCGATAGAGAGTGATGATTTCGTCGGATCTAGAATCACGCGACGTAAGTGTCATAATAAAAATCGCTGTGTTCCATTATAAAAGTTGTGCTAAGTGATAATTTTTTTTTAAATATTTGAGCGGATTCGTGATTCACGAATGCTGTTTGTTGTTGAATTTTGAAACTTTAGTTGTGAGCTCGTTAGTGTATAGCCGAGGATATTCGGGGTAGTTTTGCGACCACTGCCGCCAGCGAACCGCGGCACGCTTGCTTAGCGCGTGCTATTATCGGTACGATAGGTAATAATGGTAATATATAAATACCGTGGATCCCAAAGTCTCACGGGTCCGTTGTTGTTTTCGTATCTCAGATTCGAGCCGAACTTTGGCTGCGATCGATCGAAGCTCACGCGCATCGGCCAATCGGGAACCTCGCTTCCCGCGCTCGTTTTCGGATCGGCCAATCGGGAACCTCGTTTTCCGCGCTCACTTTCGGATCGGCCAATCGCGTGAGGGCAGCACTCGTATCCACTCCAAAATGTATATTTTTTTTAATCTCGACCACTCATCAATGTGCCACTGTGTTTTACACTAACCTAAATATTATGTAATTTTTTTGAAATGTTAATGCAACGCCATGTGTGAATGCGTAAAAATCTCGAGGTTGCGTGGTGTTTTAATGCATTGTTAGTAAATGATGGAAATATTACAATTTTTACTATAATAATCATAAGCTATAAGGTTTTTCCACAATAATTGGTTTCTAAAACTAAGCTGCTATAGTCTATAAGTGTTATCGTCCCGTAACGCGATCAATGTCGTTCGTTAAAGTATATCCAAACACTTAAAGCAATAGAAGTGCGTTAGATATTTATTCAGTCGCCGACGTATGTTAATCTCCGATATTATATACTATTGATTTATCATGTTGCAGAAAAAATATGGTGTTCGATTAAACAGAGCCTTAGATCACATCGACGGCTTTGGTTTTGCAAAGTTTATCACTGTTAAAGTTGTTCGTAGTTATGTACGGGGGCACTTTGCGTGACGTTTACGAAATTATGGCGCCTTACGCCGCTAACTTAGACGTTATATAAACAATGTGATCGGGCTGAGTTGGTTAAGTTTCATATTTTATTAATGAATTAGGCATTGTATAGGCTATGTAAATATTTAACAAAACACAAAATAAAATTATTAATTTACTAAGACGTTGTTTTATTGATATAAATATAGATATGTAATATATTATTAATATATATATAACTTTTTTATAATCTTTGTTACAACTTGTTGCCGAGTTTTACCAGTAAGTTGTCATAGACACTTGTAATGGGAATAACCCGCTACTTCCCTTATGGATAACTAAGACTATTCGATTAAAACTGAAATACTATAAATTATAAAAAAAAATATATTATTAAATACTGAAATAATACATACAGTAATATTTTTCTTTTTTCATTTTTATTAGAAAGTGAGAAGCTAGCTGATGATTCATCTGATGTTAAGTGATAACCACTGCCCATGAACAGACAGATTCTTTACCACCTTTTAATAAAATGGATCCACTTTACGCCGGTCTCCTGTATTGACCAGACGGACCTACCCATTCATGCAAGTGACTTGCGTGGCTCTACCATAGTTAAAAATATTTATGTATGAATATCATTTGAGTACTATTGCAACAAATTTACATAGGAGACATATTGGATAAAATTTTCTTCATTACTTGAGCCACAAAATACATTGCCATTACACTCATATATGTTGAATTAATTTAATAAAATATAAGGTCTTTTGAATGTTTAACTTATTTTCTAAGATTAGCTACAAAATTTACTTATATAAAATGCTATAAATAAAAAGAGTTTGTTATCAACAAACATATATTTGAAAATTAATGCTGAAAAGATCTAATACAAGTTTTTTCTAATACAGGCTTTTCTAAGTGTATCCATTTTTTTATTAAATTCTAGACATAAATAATGTTATATAAAAAATAATAAATATTTAAAATCACTCGTAATTAATTAATTACGTTCATTTGAACTTATCTAAAAAAGTGCGTGATTTATGGGCAACTCATTTATGTTACGCGCGATCATTCATAACTAACACGCACGCAAGTTCATTTCAAAAGTATACGACGCATTTATGAATGACTACCGCATTGTTAACAAGTTCTGTTTTTTAGGGAATAGAATTGCAATTTTGCAATTTTTGCGGAAAAAAGTTTGTTTTTATTTCAATAAACAATTATACTACCGAGTCTGAAACTCCTGTGTGAATTTAGGCACCTTAAGAAAAGCCACCCTGTATATCATAAATAGAATGCCTGCATAACCTATAAGTTACATGCACAAGTATTTAGTACTATGCCCTTATATTTGTGACAGGATGAAAATGGTATATTTATACCATACTCATTTCAGTACAAAAGATTTCCACATGATGCTCACATCAATATGTCATTGATTTGAGCAACATTGGTTTAATGTTTATTCCTGTAATAATTTCAGTACCTACAGATGTTTCAAGATACAAAACTACATATTACAAAAAGACAGTTTACATATAATCTAATATACATAGTTGAATGGTGCCAAGAACGCTAGGTCATGCCGTCGGGTGTTTTGCCATTGTGACGGAAAATGCCATGGGACTCTAAAAGATCCTTACGGATACCGTTTAGAGAACAAAAAATTCCGTGGCGGGAAAAGCGAGCAATTTTTTGACATGAAAGTACGTGGAGATATTATATTTATCTATATTGACACAACAAGAACATTGGTGTGATTGAAAATTCATTGTTCCCAAATGGATTGTCCATCGTGATTGTGAAGCCAAAAAATATATCGGTAGATGCGATTCTCTTTCCGCCTCGAAAGTGTCTCAATCCGATATACTATTGTTAATGAGCAATGCCAGATAAAAATTATCGGGAGGCAGCTGTAGAAATGACAAAAGTTTGATCAAAGGGTGCTCTAAGCGGAGAGTTTTTAGTCTCATCGTTACATGGAGCAAAAATGGCATCCGAAAATAAAATGTATAATGCATTTTAAATCACAATCCACAACTTTTCTTTTTCTTAAATCAAAATTGAAGGAGGTATAGTTATGGATTATAACCAAACATTTTTGAAAGTATTGCTTTTGATTTTGATACTGATTTACCAAAGTGAAAATGGAGAATGCACAGATAAATAAATTGCGCCAACTATTTTGATATTGCAGAAATAATTTAAATACAGTTTGATAACACCTTAACAAGTTGCATCCTTTAAAACTCTTAGAATCCTTTTGAGTATCTTGCTATGGCAATAATGGCTAATCCATTATTGCCATAGCAAGATACTGATACATATTCTGAAATAACTGTAAAATTACTATATACTATTACTTTAAAATTATTATTATAATTATTGTTGAAAGACTTATTACAAAACATTTAATACTGTGAACAACAACCATGACAAAGTATTAAACAGATCGAATTAATTTGATATGTACATTTATATGATTATTAAAGATAAACATAAAAACATGGTTTCTTATAGTTTTCTAAGCATATAATGTAATATTATAAGAGCACTTAATTGTTGCAGCCTAGCAACAGTGTGTTGATAGTTATGTCACTTAACTAAGCGGAAAATATAAAGTCGTTTCATAAATACAATTATTTTATTCGTAGACTGATAATATTACGTTCCATTAGCGCTAATCGCATTCTGCTATATCAGGTTATGGGCTGTTAGTTGTTAAAATGGAAACTATTTCTGCAAAAGTGAACATCGGTCTGCTAGAAGGAAAAAGTAATTGGGAAACATGGAGGTACAAAGTTTCTGTTTTATTACGAGGCACAGAACGTGCAATGGAGGTAATAGATGGAAAATATACCAGGCCCGTGTTGCTAGAAGGCGCAGGTGACGCACAAATTTCTGCATATGACTCGGCTTTAGCGAAATTCATGAAGGCAGAAAGCAGCGCTCTGTTGATCCTTACCACCAATATGAACGACGAAACCTTAAAGAAAGTGATGAGATTCAATACACCTCGAGAAGTTTGGCAGGAACTACACAGACTGTTCGACGGCAGTTGTGAAGATAAGTCCTATGATTTATGCATGAAATTCTTTGGAGCTAAACGAGATCCATCAGACGACGTAGCAAGTCACATGTCGAAACTGAAGAATATCTGGAACGATTTAAATATCGAGTTACCGGAATTGCTACTTGTGTGTAAAATCTTAGATACTCTGAGTGAAGAATATTTTGCATTCCGCAGCAGTTGGCTTTTAATGTCGAAAACTGAGAGGTCTGTGGAGACCCTGACGACTCATCTATGTGCTTATGAGAGAGCTTTGTCAAATAAAAAGTTACTTGATCAGGAAGTTTTATCAGCAAGCACTTCTAATAAGTATAAGAAGTTGAAGGATAAGAAATTGAAGTGCAATTATTGTCATGAGGTAGGACACCGTGTAAGAGTGCTAAATGGATCCAAGACGGAAAACCACCCAAGAATACCACTTCAAAATTCTCTCATCCTACAAATCAAGGAGCAAACATGTTATTGATGTCAATTAATACACAAACATTTGCGATTGAATGTGACAAAGAAAACTGCTTTATTGACAACGGAGCGACCAGCCATATCACTGACATTCAAACCTTTTGATGTGACCCATCAAGTAACTACTGCTGATGGAAACACCATATGTGCTAAAGGAAAAGGATCTATCATCATTAAGTCGAACACGAATACGATTACTCTACAAGATGTGTGGTACGTTCCAGAGATCAAGAAAAACTTATTTTCAGTACTAGCGGCACATGATAGCAATCCAAATATAGTGTTCACGTCGAGGATGGACATGTGTGAGATGAGCATCAAAGGCAATGTTTGTTTAATTGGAAGGCGGTGTCACGGAGGCGGTCTGTACAAGTTAGATGTTCAGAATGTCCAACCAGCTCAACCAATCGAAGTATGCCTGTCTACAGCCACTTTACAACTGTACCATGAAAGACTTGGACATCAAAATAAGAGGCATGTCGAGGCAGTTATCAAGAGAGAGTTAGATATCGATCTACCTTTGGATAAAGATACGTGTGAAGGCTGCGTTTATGGGAAAGCTCATAGATTAAAGTTCAGTACGAGAACGAGAGCAACCGAACCTGGAGAATTAATCCACACTGACGTCTGTGGACCATTTAAAGAAAGCTGCACCAAGTTTCAATATTATGTACTTTTTAAAGACGACTACTCTAGCTATCGAATGGTTTATTTCATGCGCAATAAGAATGAAGTTAAAGACAAACTTGAAATTATGATTCAGTCAGTCAAAACTCAAGGCCATACAATTAAAACTATTCTGAGCGATAACGGAGGAGAGTTCGATAACACAAGTGTCAAACATATTTTAGATAAACATGGTATCAAGCAAAGATTGGTTATGCCTTATACCCCACAGCAAAATGGGTGTAGTGAGCGAGAAAACCGAACTCTTGTTAAAACTGGAAGATCACTTGGACAAGAAAGCCATTAAAGGATATCTTATCGGATATGATGAAGACGGCTACAGAGTTTGGATTACGGACGGCAAGAAAAATCGTCTTGTTCGGTCGAGAGACGTCATTTTCGATGAATCACCTCTATCATCAGAAGATGCAAAGACTGAGACAGGTAATGAAAACGTGATAAATGAATTTCAACTGAAAGTGTCACAGGATTGCAATACTTCTAGAGATGAAATCATAGTGGAACGTACAGTTGAAGATGATATACATTCAACAGAGCCAGTGGAACTTACAAATGACGACATAGAACCTATTGAGCCAGAGAGAGAAGCCCAAGTGGAAACTGATAATGTCTATGATCCGTTGCCAGAAGAACCAAGAGAATCGCTTGAATTAGAGAGAGAAGATTGTGATGAAGATAGTAATATCAGAGATGACGAGTTTCATGATAGTATCGACCAAAGTCAAGAACAGAGGTATGATCTGCGTGATCGATCTTCACTCAAAAGACCAGAAAAATTCAACGATTATGTTACATCATTAAACCATGTATTATGCGAAGAACCCTTAACTTTTAAACAGGCTATTAAAAGTAACAATAAAGAAAAGTGGTTGTCTGCAATGAAGGCAGAGCTATCATCTTTAAAGGAGCATGATACTTGGACTCTTCAAAATTTACCAGCCAATAAGAAATGCATACCATGCAAGTGGGTATTCAAGATGAAAAGGAACAGTGATGGCACGATCAAACGCTACAAGGCACGCTTAGTAGCGAAGGGATTTCGACAGCAAGAAGGCATCGATTATCAAGACACGTTTAGCCCAGTAGCAAGAATGGCTACTATTCGTTCCCTTTTAAGCGTTGCTGCATCAGAAAATCTTTACCTTGTACAGTTTGATGTAACGACAGCATTTTTATACGGAAAAAAAATAACAGAAGAGGTATATATGAAACAACCCGAAGGCTTTGAAGATGGCACAGAGAGAGTTTGTCGCCTTAATCGGAGTCTTTACGGTTTGAAACAAGCGCCCCGATGTTGGAATCACTGTTTTCATGAAATTCTAATAGAACTAGGATTTAAACAAAGTTGTGCAGATACATGTCTATACATAAAGAGACAAGGACACAAGAAACTCTTATTATCACTTTATGTCGATGACGGTCTCATAGCTGCAACTGATCAAAAGATTGCAGAAGATTATCTCAATGATCTTAAACAAAGAATAAAGATAACTACGAAATCAGCTTCATTCTATCTGGGTATGGAGATTTCGAAATGTGATGGTTCAATCATACTGAAACAAGAAGCATATACTAAGAAAGTTTTAGAAAGATTTGGAATGATGAATTGTAACCCAATTTCAACCCCTATAGAAAAAGAAACTGTTGAAACAGGGAAAGCTGATAACGATGCTAACTTTATAACGCAACGGAACTCTTTGGAACGCGCACTTGAATCCCGTCAACGCGTCTCACGCGACGCGCCTCAACCGAATGTAATTGGTCCACGACCGCGCCGTCATCGCAAGCTCCCACCGCGCCTGCGCGACTAGACCGACGCCGAATCCTCCATCTTTTTGGCGGTGGATGTGTGACGCGTACGTTTAAAAAACAATTATTAAACTAGACGAATATTACAAAGTTTGAGTTTTACTACAAAGCAACCCACGAAATCACCACTCAATAATATTAAAACTTTCCATATCGAGAAGCAGTTGGAGCATTGGCCTATCTAATGGTTGCGGTCGCCCTGATATTGCTTATGCAGTAGGTATAGTGTCACGAAAGCTCGAAGCACCTACCAAAGCAGATTGGCTTAAAGTTAAAAGGATTATGCGATACCTAAAAGGCACAATTTCGTATGATATAAAATATAATTCCAATGCAAGTAAGGAATACTTAGATGCTTTTAGTGATGCTGATCACGGAGGAGATCTCAGCACAGTACACTCTACAACCGGAGTATTGTGTCGTTACGCAGGAGGAGCGATATCGTGGCTAAGTCAACGACAGGCTTCCGTTTCTATTTCAACAACAGAAGCAGAGCTAGTCGCCGCAAGCGAAGCTGCGAGAGAAATGGTGTGGCTTACAAGGCTATTCAAAGAATTGACCACGCTCAGCTCAGTACCAAATCTAAGCGTCGACAATGAAGCTGCAGTGAAATTAGCTCACAACCCTGAGTTCCATAAGAGAACCAAACATATTCGTTTGAGGCACTTCTTTGTGCGTGAGCAAGTAGCAAAAAATGTAATAGAAGTTAGAAGAGTGAGTCCCTCTGAACAAATCGCGGATATTCTCACGAAACCACTTCCAAGGGTAATATTCACGCATCTCAGAGGAGAGCTCGGCTTAGTTAACTGAGGGAAAGTGTTGTAGCCTAGCAACAGTGTGTTGATAGTTATGTCACTTAACTAAGCGGAAAATATAGTTGTTTCATAAATACAATTACTTTATTCATAGACTGATAATATTACATTCCATCTCATTCGCTAATCGCATTCTGCTATATCATTAATATCACAGAATATTGAATAAAAAATAATTTTTACACAAATTTTATATTAATTTATTTAAATAAAGTATAAATGAACAAGGTCATATTATGTACAAACCTATAAGTAAAAAAAATACCTCGCATTTTAGTTATGGCTACAAGATGCATTACAATTTACCATAAAAGAATCACTCACTGAGTTATATAATTAAAATATAAATACTTACAAAAAAACATCCATTTACTTTGACAAATTAAACTTGTTCAGTACACTGACAAAAAAATTTAATACTGGATATTTGTGTGCTGCAGACATCATTGTTATTTTTAAAACAGACAAAACATTTGATAGAAGGTATCCACCAATTGCACCTAGATAACAAGGTATGGGCCACTGTTGCCATGGTGTGTTCCAATCTAATGGGATGACTATCGCACCAAGCCAAGCTCCGCAAACCGTCAATAAGGCATTGTTGACAAGCATCTCTATAATGGTATCCCTGTTGAAATTTCTAACACCAAAAAGGAGTTGCATGGATGATTCCACTCCTGTATGAGCTATCAACGGGAACACTGTAAGTAGAGTCAGTAACGTGGACAATATAAGTGTTTCTTCGTGACTGTCTAACACGGGTGCTCCAAACAGTATTATACCAACGAAAAAACAAAACATAACACCGAGGAGGAAAGCAAAAGCTTTTGCAATATCTCCAACACGATTCTTACTTCCTTTATTCTTTTTAAGTGGAGCATTAGAATTAAGATAGAATGATTTAAATAACTCAGCTACAAAGATCAACACCAAAACATAAAACGACGAGCCATTTCCAACAGAATATAAGAGCCCTTTGTAAGATATAACTGTTATTATACTAGGCAAATAAATACAAGTAATTAAACTTGATACAGTGATCTTTTTCAGTTCCAATTGATTGTTTAGGGAAAACATTTTAGATTTATATTCTAACTTCTAACTCACATAGGGCTATCAGTAAGAGAACACGATATATGGTAAATGTCAATTTGACAGTTACAGACATCAGATTAGCTTTTCAACATACATAATTTACCGCCCTGAAATTGTAATTGTGTTCTTTTTCTTTTATTGCATTTAATATTAAATAAAAATATAATCAAAAAACTTTGTTATATATTTTACTTGAGTAATTAATTTTGAAAAGGAAAATAGCCTAAACATAAACACTAATTTTCTTTATTAAAAAGGAAATATATATAAAACAAGTTTATCAAACATTAACATATTAAATTTAACTATAATATAAAATTAAACAGTATCATATTTATGTAAAAGAAAAAATCAAATATTAACTTTAAAATTGTTGTTTTATCCGTAAGATAAATATATGTATAGTATTACGTATTTATCTTACGGATAAAATACGTTAAACACTTACGTGTAAAATGTAAGTGTTTAACGTGAATAATCTGAATACTAGATAAGGACCAGAGATATGAATATGCAATTTACATAAATATCAAAGGATTGTTGAATAAATTCTAATATTATATTACTTTTATGTGTCTCTGTGTTCTTCGTATTATAAAGCAAAACAAAGATATTTATTTTTTAAGAATTTATTGAAGGGAAGTTAATTTCCGAACGTGAACGGTTCGATACTACAAGTGTTACCATTATTTGTATTTTCTACCATTTAGATTTTATGAAATGTTTCAAAAATTAAATTTTACATAAACAAGCGTATTGCACGTATGTAAAAAACTGATATCTTTGTGCCTTTTTTTAACTGAAACCTATTGTTTTTAACCCAAAATCACATAAATAAATGAAAATATATTTTTTCAAATCTAATTTCAATTGAAGAAGTGGATATTCTAGTTAGTTTATATATGGCAATGTTTTGACAATCTATCAGAATATCAAAATAAATTATACGTGGTAATGAAGTGAAGTGTAGCACATAACAATCAGTTATCTCAACGTTATCGATGTAAGGACACGGACGTTATAAATGAAAGGTGCAGTGCCGCGAGCATCCAGTTGAAGTTTACTCTTCCGAGACGTTCGGCTACAGTGCGAGTCAACGTTAAACGAAAACATCGAGCTACTTTGCGAAACATTTACACTTCGCAAGTGTGTCATTGATTACATAAAATGCCTTGTCCGTTTTTGGGATCGTTGAACCAGGCATTCGTGAGGAACTACGGTTCCTCGCTGATGAAACAGTACGGCAACTATTGCCCGATGATTTCACGAGGATTCCGTACTCTCGGCCAAGACGAGACAAAGTGTCCGTTCATTCAGCAAAACTCGATAATATCCGAAGCGCCGAAGGAGATGACCGAGGACATCGTGGAGACTGTCCGGCCGTACAAGTACGAGAAATTCTTCAATGAACAAATCAGCGCGAAGAAAAGGGATTACTCGTACCGCATATTTAGGAAGGTGTCGCGGTTAGCCGCCGAAGGTATGTACCCGAAGGCGCTAGAAGGCCAAGAGAACCGTCGCGTCACCGTTTGGTGCGCTAACGACTACCTCGGGGCCTCCCGTCATCCCGTCGTGCAGGACGCCGCTATATCCGCTATCAAATCGTACGGCACCGGCGCTGGAGGAACCCGCAACATCGCGGGCAACTCCCAAATGACTGAGAAGCTGGAAGGCGAAATAGCCAAGCTTCACAACAAGCCCGCCGCCTTAATATTTAGTTCGTGTTTCGTTGCAAACGATGCAACCCTATCGACATTAGCTAGGATACTGCCCGATTGCATAGTGTACTCGGACGCCGGCAACCACGCGTCCATGATCCAGGGTATAAGGAACAGCCGAGCGACCAAGCACATATTCAAGCACAACGACCCGAATCACTTGAGAGAACTACTGTCTAAATCGCCGGACGGCGTGCCCAAGCTGGTCGTGTTCGAAACCGTACACTCGATGAGCGGGGCCATTTGCCCCTTGGAGGAGATGTGCAACATCGCGCACGAGTATGGCGCGTTGACGTTCGTCGACGAGGTGCACGCCGTCGGCCTGTACGGGAAGCGGGGGGCGGGCATCGGCGAGGAGAGGGGGGTGCAGCACCTGATCGACATCGTGTCCGGCACGCTGGGCAAGGCGTACGGAAACGTCGGGGGCTACATAGCCGGCTCGTCCCTGCTCATCGACACGATCCGTTCTCTAGCGCCCGGCTTCATCTTCACCACGGCCCTGCCGCCGCCGGTCCTTGCTGGCTCGTTGGCCGCGATCAGGCTGCTCGCCAGCGAGGAGGGCCGCAGCCTCCGCTCCAAGCACCAAGCCATCGTTCGCTACTTCAAACTCTCCCTGCTAGTAGCCGGCCTGCCGCAGCTGCCCTCCGTGAGCCACATAGTGCCGGTGCCCATCGAGGGGGCGGACAAGGTGGCGCTGGTGGCGGAGTCCCTGATGAAGCGGGGCCACTACGTTCAGGCCATCAACTACCCCACGGTGGCCAGGGGCGAGGAGCGGCTCCGCTTCGCCCCCGGCCCCTACCACACCCCCGAGATGGTGGACAGCCTGGTGGCCGCGCTGATAGAGTCCTTCCACGAGAACAACATTAGCTTCGACCAGTTCATGATCAACGGCGCCTGCCGCGAGTGCAGCCTCGAGTACAAGGTCGACATGATGAGGGACGAGCCGTTCAAGTTCCCGATGCAGGCCGCGTGAATACACCCCCCTCCCCGCCCCCCGACGAGTGTGTTTGAGCATGAGAGGAAAAATGACAAAAAAAATATATATGTTGGATATTATAATTATTATGTAAATGTATAGTTTATTGCTATTGTTCCGTTAACGGTTCTACGGTTAAATGGTAGGGGAAATAAAGAAAAATACGTGCTGTACTTAATGTGTAAACTTTATTATTTCAATCCCAATATTTTATCACGCCGTCCCAGCCCGCCGTGAGGAGCTTGCTCGGCTCGTGGGGATGCCACAGGGAGGAAATGCACACGCCGTCGTGCGCCTTCCATTTCTTGTACAGTTTCGTGGTCTTCCAGTCCCAAACGTAACACTTGCCGTCGGCGTCGCCCGATACGAGATAGCTGAAATTGAAGCATACATTATTTTTTTAATATAACAACATTTCCCCAGTTAATTATAACGCAATTAATCATAACTGTTAATCGAAACAGAAATGACACCTTTACATTTTAAAATCATATTAATTGGAATGATAAATTAGTCGAGTAAAGATTACGTAATTAATTACAGAATAATTATAGACATCAATTACACTTTACAGACAAGTCAAAGCAAATCCTCTTCAAAATAGCTACACTATTTACCATTATGACTACTAATTCTATAGTAATTACCACCCATAGGTGCCTCTAATTGACCTGGGACTTAGTCATAAGACCTAGGTTCTAACTATATTACTATTGTGATAATTGTACATCATTGCTTTTGTGTATTATTAAATTTCTATTAGTTTAAAACTGAAAATCACTTTCTGTCGACTACCGTAGGTTTCATCAGAATCATGCCCTAACGAGGTTGAAATTGCTTGTTCGGTCCCTCAAAATACATTACGGAAAGAAAACTCGTTACGACATTAAGCAGCGGAGTTACATTATCTAATGGAAGGAATTACGAACAGACATGGTTGATGGAAGGCTCATTAGAGGTGGCAATAACAATTCTTTCCTATTCGAAATTAATAAAAAAAACCCGGACAAGTGCGATTCGGCCATGCGCTCGACGGGTTCCGTACCATTATCTATATAAACTGCAAAAATGGAGATCCGATTCATGTCGGAGATAATTATGGTATTTTAGTCTTCAATTTTATATAGAAACTGACGTCTTATAACTCTAACTGGGTCGTTTACCCAGTTAGAGTTATAAGTTCCCAAACCCAAAGTGACATGTCGCTTATCGTGCACGAAGACAATAAGTAAAATGTGAGTACTTCATTTCTTTTTTAATTGTCCATATTTTAAGATAACATTCTTGTTGTAAGTACGTTCTACAAACATTTTAGCGTGGTCAAACGCCTAGATACGTAACAATTATTTGCGGGTCACACAAATAATATTGTCTCATTTTGGAATCGAATTCACGACCCCCGACGCCGAAGTCAATACCTTGGCAACTGCGCCACGGAGTCATCAGTAGTCAAACATTAGGATCTGTTCATTAAGTACGTCGACGAGTTGTTAGCTTTCGGGTTTGAATCCTACTGGTTCACATTTATGCATAAACAAACTCACACTTCCCATCGAAATACGTTGGCGGAGATTACTAATTATTAAAAGCACAGTTTCTATAAAGGTTAATGTGAGTCCGTCTTCTAAGACCCTCGGGCGTCTTTTTGCGTATTTCACGAACACACAGACGACTTAACATTTACGATTTGTGCAAGTTGTGCGTAGCAAATGCGAAACATTGGATTTAATAGCTTTTGTGAATCGAACATAATTTATTCTTCCTACCTACCCCATCGGGCATTAAGTCGTAAACGCTTGTAAACGAATAAGGTACACACACTTATACACTTCCGTGCAGACCGGCACGAAATAAATATTTTAAATAATGTAAAGTATTAATAAAGTCAAATATATAAGTAAAAAGTGAATGTAAAACGTTATAATTTAAAATAAAATGAAGGCGACCAAAATGTGTGGTCTTCCACTGAGGTAGAGTCAAGGGATAACTTCAGCTGTTGCTGTTGCACAAGTGGGCAGGTTCGTCCGAGAAAGTACCACGGCCTCACAGACGGCCGGTGTGAAGACCAGCTTTCGCGCTTTGTCTGATGAGTGAGGTAACTGGGGCACACTTTTTTACCGGTTAGCAACGGCTCTGCAACCAACGTAGATGTAGTATATAGGCGGCAGCAATCACTTAACATCAGGTGAACCGCGTGCTTGCTTATAAACTTTTCACATAAAAAATATAAGAAACTATGAGTAATAAACATTGAAATTGTAATGATTTATTACTTAAAAATGGGTGTATGCGTTAAGATTAATGTATGGGCGTAGAAGTGCTAAGATCAGTAATCCGCGATCTCTGCTTACCTCCCTGAGTGATAGACGCGTCTATGTATTAATAGTTTAATATTAAAGGCAGATCGATTTCAATAGACAAAACATTTCAAGTTTATTGAATTTTTCCACCATTTAATAAAACTTACTTTATTCAAAACCTGAGCGATGGTGTTTAAAAAACTAAACGACAAAGTTACAATATGATTTAAAGACGTTCAAAGAATGATGAAGCTATTTCATATGTATACGACTACGTTAAGTATTATTAGTAACGGCGCTTAAATAAGACGGCGACGTAAATGCCCTTTAGTTAGGTTTGACACATAACGTGTTTTTAAATTAAAGCAAGTTATCAATAATCATATACAGCGTGTCGTTACCATCGAGACAATAAATGAACACACGTCTAACGCTACTTGCCAATAATCATAACAAAATATTAACGTTAAACAAAATCCATAATTAAAAAAAATATTTTTCAAACAAAGTAATTAAATTAAGTAAAAATAAACAAAATTTGTAACATCCTATACATCTCGCGCCACAGCGTCGTATTACAAGCCTCTCCTTCTAACAGTATGTTTTGTCTCTTTTAAATTCATTCAACCCATTCATATGCTTTGTGATCTTTACAAATGAACTTTACGTTACAGTTTTATAGATAAGGATGTTCTAAAATTCTTTGTTTTGGAAGATTTTATAACTCTGTAAATATTGATGTTTAAAGAATGTTAATGTTTAATACAATTTTAAAAAGTTATCCCCTATATGTGTGTTCATTTATTGTCGCGTATGTAAAGACACGTTGTATATATATAATTCTGGATATATTTAGCTTTAACTAGTTATGTTGAGTACATATTTTACATAGTATTGAAATATCGCCCATTTCGCAGTTGTTATAAGTATTTCTTAAGAACTTTTCAAAAAATGACAGTGAAACTATGCTATTCGTGCCTTAGGAAATAGGCCATCTTATTCCTATCGATCCATAGACATTGGCATTTTTCACCGACTTCAAAAGGAGGATGTTCTCAATTCGACTGTATTTTTTTTTATGTTTGTTACCTCAGACGTAGATACGTTAGTAAAAAACATGCTTATTAACAAATAAAAACTTCACTTAAATACGAATAGCACATGCTACTTAGGGAAAATGTAGGTTATTAACATACAAATAATCCATGGGCGGCAGTTAGCACTCGTCGCCATAACCACACGTTCGGCTGCGACCTTCTTTTATAAATTATTAAGGAAAAACAAAACCGACGTCAAATATCTCGATCAGTACTCATTTTATAATTGATTATCAGGAGTTTCCTAAGTATATCCGGAGCCCCAGTTCCAATACCAATGAGTAATATAATACCACATGGGAAGCACCAGCTTTCGAATAAAAAAAGAATCATCAAAATCGGTTAACGAGTCTGTTGAAAAAGTTATCACCACTAAAACGGCGAGGGGTCACACGTCATTTTGGCCAAATGACGAGTTCTCAACACCTAATGATCACAGCAATCAAGTCCGGTTTTTAGAGGAAGGTAACCGAAAGGTCCGCGGTGAAACTGATTAAAACTATAATTACGCAATGTTGATTATTTATTTACGACTAGAAACCGGTTTCGCGACCCCGAGACCGATAAATACAACAGCGTGATTGTAGGTACTGAGTTTTTAGTGGAAAACAAATACGACAAGTTGAAATAGAAACAGCAGACTCCAATACTGGAACCGCCGTTAGGGTCAATTTACATTGCCATGTAAAAGACTAAAAAGAATATTTGGACCGAGATTGACGCCCGGTTACTGATCATCGTAGAATTTCGTACAATTCAGAGAGTTTAACAATTCTTTTGGCACTCAAATAACGTTTGGAAAGCCATTTGACGGCTTATTAGAACACTTTGGGTGGAGAAAAAAAAAAAATCAGCAAATCGACCTTGAGTTTCACGATTATTATTTTATTTACTGTACGAGTTACTTAACATTAAGGAAGTGTTGACGTTCTTATTAAATTCTATATTACATCCTCAGGGTAGAGATAATGGTGATCATAATTGTCACGCCTAAATGCCGTCCGTTGTATTAGAATTTTAGTGCTGGTTTTGAATACTGGCAACCCCAACTTTACTGTCTCTGCTCACATAGTAACGTTTTTTTATCAAGCCATACTTATCAAGTACATTTAGAGTAATTTTAATTGGATAGAATCCTTTCTAACGGCACGTTTAATAGACAACCATGTAGAGATAGACCGGTTTAATAAAACTAGGTTAGGAATTGTTTATGAAAAAGACTGAACTTCGAACCTTAACCCTAAAGTTTGCACCTAAATGCAACAATGAGGCGTAATTTAAAACGGCAAACCGAGGAAAATTCCAACCGATGAAAGGTACAATGAGAAAAATCGTTACTTATTCGTAATTGCGTGTGTGTGTAAAATATGTTTATGCAAAACATGTTTTAGTATTCGCGTAGTGTGAATACGGCGGCAATGACGTAGGTATATACTCGTATAATAATTGTAAAATACGCCTCGTCATCGTACAAACTGCTCCTTCTTAAAAGTGTTGACAAAAAATATTAAGTACAAAAAACGATATACCGGATGACATGCTCGGTTCATTTATAACAATACATTTTAATTCGCTTCCTTATGTTTCCGATTTTAGCCCAAGTGACTGTGTAAGGCTTCGTAGGTCCGAGGGCTCGTGAGATTTTAGATTACGGAATAGTTGTCGCAAAACAGCGACCTTTTAAGTTGAATCATTGTCAGGAGGTTTAGCATAGTCATGTCATATCTACGCATCCCATAGGTACAAATTACAGTAAACACTAAATTCGGCGTAAACTTCCCCACTGAAACTTTCAAGCCCAATTTTCAAAAGGTTGCCAAGGTTGCTTGCAGATGTCCATGGGCGGCGGTATTCACTTAACATCTGGTGAACCGTCTGCTCGCTTGGCAACTTTTCACATAAAAAAACTGAGTCTAATCAAGTCCTTAAAATCAATAGGTATTAATTAGGCTTAGTTTCTAGCGTATAAGTTTAGTT